CAGGTCGAAGCCGCGGCCCCGGCTTTCGGCCCCACGTGTGCCCGGCGGGGCGCGGGATGCGAGGTGTCTGCTAGCGCTGGCTTAAGTGAGGGCTATTGAAACGGCAAACCCAGCACCCAGCTAGGTTAAATAAGAAAGCAAAGGAATTGGTGTCGTCTGCGCAACTTTTGAGACCTCCCTGCGCCCGCAGAACACAATCTGAGAAGTCCTTAGCTTGCATTCAAGTCTTTTCAAAAGAAGTCCTTTCCTGCATTCAAGCCACAGATGGATGCGAGATGCTCGCTCAAAGCAAGCGCGTGGTTTAGCCTCGGCACTCCATGTGCCACTGCAGTTATTCACTGTGTGTATGCCCCAAGACAGAGCATTTCCCATGAGCTGAGATGTCAGGAAATGTAGGGAGAAAGGGGGAAGTCCAGCCAGTTAGACCTTCCAAAGGAAATAATAAAGTTCCAAGGTCATCTTCATTATTGAGGTCATATTAATAAAGCCAACATTTATATAACACATTCTGAGGAGGAAAAAAGCCTTCCCTGTCTAGAAAAATCACAAAGGGACTGAAGTTCAGAATGGTGAAGGTCAAGTGTTTGGCTTCACTGTACTGGAATTAACGTTACTTTGGTTTACATTGTAATTTTTTTACTCTTTGCAAAAAAAAGTTAAAAATGTGTGAGTTCTGGAACACAAATCTAATATATGTTGCAACATGTAGATTGCTTATGTTGTATACATATAGCTCCAGGTCATCTTTCTGGACCTTTTCTCACCACCATTGATAATAACAAAGACATTTAGATAGAATGATAACAATCTCAGATTGTTCTAAAATTCTATCTAAAATCACAACCAGGACTATTACCATGACCAGATTTGACTAGCTGTTTTGCAGCTGTCTATCAAAGGTTTGGGTTTTTTACTTTTTGTCTGTTGATCGTACATGTACCTCATATATTGGCTGCTTATGAATATGGAACTCAAACTAATAAAGTAGCCTCTATTTTATTTATTATAGGTCAATAGTGTTTTAGAAAAACAGCATGTAAAATTTTTAACTGGATTTATAACAATTTTTCTAACTGTAAAATTTGTAACTGGAACAGCTGCTGTTACCCTCCTGCTAGCAAATCCAGATAGCCTTAGTTACAGTCTACACAGGCATGCAAGTAACAGAGTGAGACCCAGACCCTGTCAGGTGATCTCGAAGGGTGGCACTTACCTCTTTCAAGAATCTCAGGCCTTCTGCAAACTCACATAAGAACTCCATGGCATCTGATCTCCCACTTTAGAGAAAAACTATTCCACGTTCATATTAAGAGGACTTCTGCAAATCATACGGATTTTTCATTTACAAGACGGTGACTTTTTACTTTTGACTTCTCAAGTACCTTTGGATGAAATTGATTAATAATGCCTAAAACAAATAAAAAACGCTAGATAAAATTACCCTAACATTTAAGTTGGGTACATAGGGTAAGGAAACAAGATTTATCAAAGCATGCTGTGCTGAAGCCAGTGTTGATTTACTGAAGTCCAGTCACCAGCTTCTTCAGGATTTCAGAACTCACAGGGCTCAATTTCTCAATTTTTATTTGTTTTCCAGAAATTCAGGAGAAAATTTGTTTTCCTGCTTTCAACAGACTTCTCAACAGCCAGCCACAGGACTGCCATTACCTCCTGTTCTGTGTAATTACTAACCCAAATACCCACTGGTCTGAATTAAAACCCTTCAAAGGAGGTACGTACTTCCGTGTAAGTCCTAGTTAATTTTGAAGGTGCTCACAGCTTTATGCATTGTCATAAACTTTCACGTCCCTATTTTTAAGATAAATCTAAATTAACTTTGAATGGCAATACAGACATATAGGATAGGATTATCAGGAACTTTTTTTGCATATAGTTGGTCTAAATGCCCATTTTAGTTCTTTACAGGCCCTAACGACGAATGCCAGGTCCTGCTGGAGTAACCCTAAGCCCTTCCAGTACTGTTTTGGACGCTTCATTTACCAATCCCGCGGCCATTTTCCGGGCTCTTTGCTGAGCCACCCGTTAGTGCCCCGCGAGCAGCGAAGGCCAGCAACAGCTCCGGACACGTTTGGTTGGAAAACACTGGTGTACCTGCAGACGCAT